AGATTGAGAAAATTCATACATTAAATACCATTTGGACAACTGAGTTTCAGCTGCAGCCTCACTTTTTCTTTCTTGTCTAGGGTTCCTTTCTTGCCTTAACCTCCTTGCTCAAGGATTCCTTTACGTCCTCTCACCTCTAATAAGTTCTTAACTTTGTGTGTATATGTACTGCTTTGGTTTGGATCCTCATTTGCATTAATATTGAACTTTTTCCTAGACAGAGAAATGATTTCTGTTGTAATCCTTGAAAGCAACTTGAGTCAGCAGGTAGTAAGCTAATGACAGACTCTCGGATTCACTGTGGGTGTGTCCTTATGCCCTCTGAACTCTTTGAATTTGCATGGTAGATGGCTTTTTTTTTATCAAATGTGGTGTTTACAGAATGCTGGTTGACGGGTTCCTATTTGTGTTTCAGAGTGCTTCCTCTGAAGAAAGCTGCTGAAGAAAAGACTCAAGCAATTCGTGCAGCTGCTGCAGCCAGTTTTAAGTCAATGCTTAAAGAGCGAGGAGATATATCTTTCAACTCACGTTGGTCCAGGGTATGTGTGTCATAAATTAGTGTTGACATAGTTTTTTTCTACTACTTAGATGCAGGAATTAAAAACGTATTCAAGTGCTATAAGATAATGTTTAATTTTCTTTCAAGATCACAAACATGCGAACTAGTGTCATTTTTAAGTTGTCTCCCTATGAGTTATTTCTTAATTTGTAAACGTTACGAGTTGATGTCTGAAAAACCAGGAGGGAGAAAAAAATTGAGTCTTACTTCACGAGTGGCTGTGTTTTTATTGGATTTGAATGAAATATTTTTGGGTTATGTGATAGCGGGATGAGGAGCTCGTTTTCCATGTTACTGGGAATGATATTGACAGTTACAAAATCAAGTGTTGATTTTCTCAAGGATTTGAATAAATTTTTTTGGGCTATGTGATAGTGGGATGTTGTTTTCCATGTTACTGAGAATGATAATGGCTGTAATAAAATAAAGTTATGATTTTCTCAATATCACTGTCTCACTCGTCCAGGTGTTCGGTATCCTCCTAATTGTTTTTAGGGTTATATTATCGAGATACTTCTGGGTACGACTTGCTAATATGCTTTTTTTGAATGAACCTTTCTATTATGTTCTTTTTTAATAAAAAGGTAGGATATGTTAGCGAGTGTTGGAAATAGGAATGTTTTAGGAGAACAAGAGCTTCTTTGATGTTTGTTTTTTCAAGTAGCCTATATATACATGGTATAGCTAGGATCAATGAATCTTAGGTAATAGTGGTATCTTAAATTCTTCTATCGTTAAATTCTTTGGCATTGATTATTTTTGTAATGCTCCCGCATATAAATAAGTTCACTCTGCTGGGCCAAAAAAAAAAAGAAATCCAAACACGTTTAGAAAATTTTCCTTTCTCATTTTCTCACAAGCCTCAACTTTAGATTGTTAATGTACTCCCAAGGATATAGTTTGATAATTAACTTGTTTTAGAGACAAGTTTTGGTATACATGTACATGTAAGTGTAACTTTTGAATGTGGCATATGTATTGCTCGCTTTTTCGATTTCTTATTCTTCCTAATCTATAATCTTCTGTGGATGCAGGTTAAAGAAAGTTTAAGGGATGACCCAAGATATAAATCTGTGAGGCATGAGGATAGGGAAGATTTGTTCAATGAGTATATATCTGAACTGAAAGCTGCTGAATATGCGACAGAAAGAGAGACCAAAGCTAAAAGGGAGGAGCAGGTATCAGCTGGTTAATATGCAACGATTGCCTATCTTAATGAGCAAATAAGTTCCTAATTAGAAACGAGAATAACTGCCATCTACTTTTTTTCCCGTTATCATTTTTATTGGTGCCTTGTATATTCATGGTGGATAGAGGCTGCTGAACTACTTTACATTTTTAGGTCATTGGAAGTGTACTTTCATCGTAGTGACTTTTATTACTGGTATTGAAGTGTCTTTTCTTCATTATTTTTCTTTTTTATATTGGTCTGTATTATTGTATTACATGAGTTTGCTTGTTATTATATTCACTGGATCATCTTTTTGGTCCTTGAAAGTAGCCTCCTTTTTAAATATTCGTCTTTCGTTTCAAACAGGTCCCTACATATTATCATTAAAATGCAATTTAATCCATACATATATAGACTAAATTTTATTTTAATAACAAACAATGACTAAATTGCATTTTAATGGTGACATGCAAGAACCTACTTAAAATGAAAGATGAATGAGAGATGGACATTACTTACAGGTTTAAATTTATATAAATTCTAGGGCTAAATTGAAACCTTCATATATACGTTCAAGGACCAAATTGACCTTTCTACCAATTTATATTTATATAGAGGTGCTCCTGTAACAACTCATTTTCATTTCTTTTTGTGATGTATTGATTATGAAGCAAGTTACAGGAAGTTGAAACTATTTTACAGGACAAGCTCAGGGAAAGAGAACGAGAGCTGCGCAAAAGGAAGGAAAGAGAAGAACAGGAAATGGAGAGAGTGCGACTAAAAATTCGAAGAAAGGAGGCAGTTACTTCTTTTCAAGCTTTACTCGTGGAGACAATCAAAGATCCTCTGGTATAGATTTCTTTTTGTGTCAGGGCTACGAAATTGTTTCGAAAATCTTTAATAATCAACTTAACAGTATCCCGCAATCTGAAAGGATTAGAATGTATGTCCTTCAGGACTCACTGTTGTTTTGAAAGGATTAGATTAACGCGAGTGAGTTTTTCTGACACTTGATTGCTTTAAGATTATTCACTTGTAATTTTCTTATTTACTAGGAACTTGGTTGATATTGATGATAAATTTTATTCCATTTTCTTCCATCAATGTAAAATTAATGCCATTTGCGTACTATGTTGTTAGGCATCATGGACGGAATCGAAACCTAAATTAGAAAAGGATCCTCAAGGACGAGCAACTAATCCTGAACTTGATTCTTCTGATACGGAAAAATTGTTTCGGGAACACGTGAAGATGCTTCAGGAGGTAAGAGAACAATATATGAGATAGTGGTGTGTTTGCCATTCTCTTCAGTGTCACTTATATGTCCCATTCTTAACACCCGTGATGATTGTGATTTGGCCAGCGATGTGCTCACGAATTTAGAGTTCTCTTAGCTGAAGTATTGACCACTGATGCTGCATCTCATGAAAATGAGGATGGAAAAACAGTGCTCAATTCTTGGTCTACAGCTAAGCGAGTTCTAAAATCTGATCCAAGATATAACAAAGTTCCAAGAAAAGAAAGAGAAGCATTGTGGCGCAGGTATGCAGAGGATATGCTGCGGCGTCAAAAGGCATCTCATTCACATGATTCCAGGGAAGATAAACATACTGATGCTAAAGGTAGAAATTCTCTAGAATCTTCCAAACATCCATTGGAATCTGGGAGATCGCACGACCGAAGATAATTCTTTTTGTAACTCCTCTCTTACTCTTATCAATTCTCCCTTTAGTTTGATGTTAGAACAGTGTTATACATTACATTGAATCAACTTCCTAATACTGTCTACACTATCAACATTATTAAGAGCAGTGCCTCCATATCCTTTCTCAATTTTCAGATCATTTTCTTCCCTCCTTCAAACCAGATGCATAAAGATTACTGGATCCTCTCCACGCGGTTAATAAATGATAAAGAATAGGGATGGAAAAGCAAAAATACTAAACTTTGTAATATATTGTCCATTTCGCAATTCATTTTTTTTAGTTGAGCTATATATTTAATATATACTTTGGTTATGTTTTAAATTTAAATGTTCAAATCTTCAAAATGATTCTTGCAATAAATATGCATTTTTATGAATTACATTAAATAAATTATTCGTATTAGGCGGAAAAATTGAAAGAGTTGAAGTCTCGCGAACCTTTATCTTCATATATATTGGTATAATGATTTGTGCTTTGACATGCTAAATTTATAATTGCTTAATTTTATAGAAAATCTGTTAGTTGATATGTATAATTTTTACTGAAAAAGATATATAAAAAGTTACATGTTTAATGTTTAATAATTTTACATTCATCCTCTTATATTATTTTAATTTGAAGTGCTCTAAAAGGTGGTAACAGTAATTTATTTTGGACTATTTAGTTTTTTTGTTTTGTTGTTGTGGATTTGTTGTTTTTTTTTATGAGCTTCTTTGACTAATTTAAGCTGAGTACTAACCTAATCAGGGTTGGTGTATTAACAGTATTTCTATTTCAGATTTGTCATATATCATTAATATTTATAAAAGAACTGTCTATATTTTAAAAAATTTTAAGATATAATTTTAGTCATTGTCGAATATTTGAATTGAAATTTATAATAAAACATTTTTTTAAAATACTATATTCACTCTTTTTCTCGTGATAAAAAAAAAGTTATTTACAATTTTTTATTATTAAAAATAGTTAATTGAGTTTCAAAAAGGATTTACAATACTTAAAAAATAAAATAGTAAAATGAAATATATTAATAAAAACAATTGCTTAAAAGTAAAATTAAGAAAATAATTGTTTTAATTTATAACAAAACATTTATTTAAATTATAAAATTGGAAAACAAATAAACATAAAAAAAGCACGGATTCATTTAAATTATTTATATTTATATTTAGTTCTTAAATTACGCATATTAAAATAAAATTTCTAATTTCTAAATATTTAGTACAGTATCAAATAAAATTATAATGAACAATTAATTTTTTAATTGAATAAATATTGGACAACGTTAAAATATAATTGCATGTATTTCTCCAACTCATGAAAAATTATATTTAAATATTTTTAAAATCTTAATATTGAATTATATAATCAAATAAATATGACATATTTTCTTATATTTAAATAATACAATAGTATAAAAAAATCCTCAGAATTTTATTTGTTGAAAATTTATTATGGATTCATTACCAAATTGTCCTTTTAAATTAACAAACATTTAAAACCAATTGTACTTTTTATAGGCAGGAAGGTAAATCTCAGTGGTTATGTCTGTCACGTGACCTGCACGATTTTCCTTCCTTCCTTCTCCCTATTAATACCCGCAATTCTCTTTCTCCTAACATCTGTTTAAGAAATTTGTTTTCGCAGTCGTCGAAACTCTGCCTTTTTCTTGAAGCTTCCATTGTCTCCGGTTGCTTTTGCTTTTGCTTTTGCTTTTGCTTCGCATAGGAAATGGTTCGTTCCTTTTTCTTTCCTTCTGTTTATCTTTTTTCTCTCTCTAATAACATATTAGCTTCCTTTGTTTTCCTTGTTTCTAGGTTTATTTTACGTTCACACTGTCTACCGCACACTCAAATTCTCTTATGATTTCAATTCTTGTTTTTCATCTACCGAGACTAATTTTGATGTTTCAAAAATTTTCATTCCAGTGTTGGAATACTTGAAACTATGTCTTCATTTTGTTTTTCTTTTTATTTCTCTTTCATGCCAAAATATTTTGCTGTCTATGTGAGGATAGAAAGACGGGAACATCTTTAACTTTCAATGTTTTAAATTTAAGTTTTGATTATTGCAGGATGGTGCAAAGAAAGGTCGTGCTGTCCTGGTTTTCACAGATGGAGCAGTTCTTTCCGTCAGTCAAGTGTTTGAGACAATTACAGAACTTGGCAATGAAGGGGTTCAGGGATCTGATCCTCTGGTTCTTACATCTGCCTCGCTTTTAAGTAATTCTCTTGATTCTTCATTCTTTGTATTTTTATGAACTTCTGGGTAAACACTCTCCACTTGTAGGAGCAGTAAATAAGAAGGTGGAATGCAATTGTGTGTTATACCAAAGTGAACTGTTTTATTGAATCAGTTTTAAATCCAAGAAGTTTACAATTTATGACTTTAATTACCCATTTGATCCCTGTAGTTGCCAAAATAGTGAATTAGGTTATTAGACTATATTTTATTGATCACTTTATCTTACCATCTTTTTATGGGTGGTTATGCTGGCCCTTATTTCTCTTGTTTCTGTTAATATTTTCTCCAGTTGAATGAATCCATAATCTGAATCTCTTTGTTATCCATCAGACTGAGATGCATTAGTTTAATAAAAATAAGCAGACCCAGGAGTTGAATTACTTTGTATTTCTGGTTTCATGCTGAGGTTTAAGAGGAATGGCTCTGAATTGATGGGTGTTCTGATTGTGTTCCTGTCCTCTCAGATGAAAAAATCAGTTTCCTTTGTAAGCTTGATGACAAGAATAACAATTTCAAGCCATCAATAAAGTTAATAAAGGCTTGTTTAATGCTATAATGTGGCTTGATTGTCATTATAATAAAGTTTATTCTTTATTAAAATTAAAACATAGAAACATATCAACATACTTTCAGGTTAGACTTTTTCAACTCAATATGCTAGGCCAGTCAAAATATGTCAATAACAGCAAAGATATTAAGCACCTGCACCAAAAAGACAAAATGATACTTATGTCAAAGAGAACAATTGTGTCAAAATGTGGGAGAGTTGTGGTATTTTGTTCTCTCCGTCCATTGACTGCTCAGTTTTTCTTAGTTTCTTTGTTTATCTGCGACAGTGTATAGTGTCAAATTTCAATATATTATATCTTTAGCTACATCAAGCTTTGGATCTTCAACAGATCAGAGGTTCAACCTTTAGTTTTAGCAACAAAATGCCTGAAGTGCAACAAAATTGGAAATAGCCAGTCCTTCCTGTATTTTTTCCAATTCCTTTAAACATGTCAACCAATAGTTGTTTTTTCTTTAAAGAACATGGATTCAAATTCACATTTCCATTGAAAATGCTCAATTCCATTTCACACATATATCATATTTTATTGTATTGTAACCATTTTGTTTCACCTATCATTTTAGGCAATTTGCCATTGGATTCTTCCTGTGTTGATTCTGCTATTTTAAACTGGTTGTCAAGTGATTGTCCTGGGGACCAACTGATTCAAGAAATTCTTAGAGTGTTAAAAGTGGGTGGTATAATTCTCATTCGCAAGTCATCTCAGTCTACTGTGGGCTCATTTGATAAGGTAATAACGGCTTAGATTGTGCCTAGTGGAATTGATATTGTTCTATTGCATAGTCTGATTATTTTCCCCATCATCCATGCAGATAATATCTGATCTTCAGAGCAAGTTATTGCTGGCAGGGTTTTCAGAAACACAAGTTTTACAATCAACTGGGGTAAGTTTCATTAACCGGAACCTTCCTATCCTATGCCACTTCTATTCATCGATTTCTAATTGTTTTCTTGGTAAGTTTCATTAACTGGAATCTTCCTATCCTATGCCACTTCTATTCATCAATTTTTTATTGTTTTCTTGTGTTTGGTGCTGTACGGCAGAATACAATAGCCTGACATCTGTCTTAAAACCAGTCTATTGGTATTAGCAACTATTATTGTGAAGTTATAGGTTTCTCAGTTTGATCACAATTACTAATTTTCATTAGTTTTTTTTTTCTCCTTTTAATCATGATCTTCCCTGTCCTTCTGGCAAATTTGTCTTCCTATTGTATGAGTGAATTGTATGCCGTGAGTCATCAATTATTCTTTCTCTTTCTTTCCTAATTAATTTTTCTTGCTCTCTTACAAATTATAAGAATCAATATGCTTTGTATTGCTCATAGATCAAAGCAAAAAAGCCCTCATGGAAAGTTGGTTCATCATTTTCCTTAAAGAAGGTGATAAAGAGTTCACCTAAAATGCAAATTGATGTTGATTCGGATCTTATAGATGAAGATAGTCTTTTGACTGAAGAAGATTTGAAGAAACCCCAGCTACTGCCAGGTAAGGAACACTTTTAAGTTTGTTCCACAACTAGTATTTTGTGTGAAACTAGGTTCTTAGCTGACGTGTTTGTGCCATAGGTGATTGTGAAATTGGCAGTACTAGAAAAGCTTGCAAAAATTGCACCTGTGGGAGGGCTGAAGAAGAGGAAAAAGTTTTGAAGTTAGGATTGACAGCAGAACAGATTAATAATCCTCAATCAGCTTGTGGCAGCGTATGTGTTAATTATTTTCCCTTTGTAATATATACTCTGTTTATGCTTTCTAAGGCTGTGTGTTCAACGAGAATTCATTTTTACTTTCTGCACATTTTAGTCATCAAAGTTCTGGCCTTTTTAATAGCTTCCCAATTTGGTTTGTTAGCTTTTTGTAATAATTCAGATGATTTAGAGGCAAAGAAGCATTAAAGCAACCTCTCTTCCCAATTCATGGAAGCTAACTTAAATATCATGAAATATAAGAGCTAGTGCTACATCATAATTCCTTTCCTTCTTGCACATAGCTCATGAATGTGTATATAGAGGCTTATGGATGGAAGGAATGCAAATGTTATTGCCATTTCTTTCAATTTAGCTATTGAAAGCTTGCTGAGTTTGTGAGCTTTAAATAAACATTCAGGTGGCAACCTCACCTGGTAAAAAAAGGAATTTGGTTTGGATTATAGATCCACTTGTATGTTCAGATCTTGCTCTTCAAAAAAGTTTTGTTAGATCATCTTACAATGGTCGTTTGTAACGCAAAAACGATTTTGAACATTAATTTTGATCAGCATTAAGGGAACAAACAAGAATATCTAATGTTGATTTGTATTGTGGTCAGTGTGTCTAGTATGATAGAGCTTACAATTTCTCTTGCAGGTTTTTCGATATGCTCTGAATAGTTACCCTCTCTATTGTGCTCAGAAATTTTTTTCCCATAATTGCATTGCTCTCAAATTTGTCTTTGATTTGCAGTGTGGGCTCGGAGATGCATTCAGATGCAGTACCTGTCCTTATAAGGGATTGCCTCCCTTTAAATTGGGCGAGAAGGTACTTTCTCTCACTCTCTTCAGTTGCTGTCATTTCTTTTAGTATGGGTTCTTGGCATGTAGCATTTATTGTTCAAGTCATTCGTTATTTTGATGCAGGTAGCACTGTCTGGTAACTTCCTTGCTGCAGACATATAAATGGATAAGATTGCAGTACGTTTTGTCATGGAAATCTTATTATTATAGGATTATTTATGTTGTATTTGTCAAACACGAGTTGTGTTAATACTACTAGCCGAACCATTCATCCGAGGAATTATAGAACTGTAATGTTATTTGTCTCTTTCTCTTATCTATTTCCTTGATAAATCCCTTCATGCTTAATAATAAGCTTGGAGACACTGGTTTTATCAACCAACTTATAAATTTAATATTCTAGCAGCTGTCTTTAATATTTTCTCATTGAAACATGTCGCATTAAATGTTCAGATTTAGAATTATGAAAACAAAAAAACAATATACTTTTTTGTTTTGAAATTTTTTTAATTTAGTTATAAGAATAAAAGAATTTTTTTTAGAGATATATTTTCTTATTAACGATTAAATAAAACATTAATAAAGATTTTGAATGTTATAAATATGGTAAATATAGTATAATAAAACCAAAAAAATGAAAGATGATCTCATAAGATAGCTTTGTAATATATCTATAATCTAAGAGCAGTTAATTTAGAGAATGAGTATATAGGTTAATAAATTTATTTATTATACAAGAAATTATGAACAAATTTCACTTCCTTAATCATTTATTGTTTATGGTTATTCTAATTATACGATTAGATTTGAGACATTTAATATAGTGGGAAACAATGGAACAATGTAGGAAATCTTGTTTCTACATCCATATATTTTGATATATACAATCTTTTGTGATTTCGCAGTGCAAGGAATGATATTTTCCCAATTAAAACAATCTATATATCTAAATAACTTCTCAATTAAAGAGCCTTTTATATTATTATAGCAAATTTAACTAAAAATAAGTTTCAATTAAATATTATTATATCTAATTATATTTATTGTTTTCTCTTCTAAAAGCAAATTAATTGGTAAAAAAATCATCTATAGAAAGGTTTCTAACTTAAATTAAAGTAATTTTTTAATTAAAATTGAAAATTATTTGAACCCGTATAATGTTATGCATATAGATTAAAACATCATCAATATTTTTTCTTAATTTAATGATAAAAGACATAGAAAAAAAATTACAACAACAATTAAAAAACAAACCAATTATTGTATTCTAACACCAAAATCTATTATTACAACATAATAAACTCTAAAAATGTATATGAAAAATATATATATATCTATGGCTTTAGAGTTTTTGTCACATTTCTATCTCTATCTTGAAATGAATAATTTATTTATAAGAAAATTAAAAATCATAAAAAATTACTATAAAATTAAATACGAAAAGTATATAATTTTTTTAATATTAAATATCAATGTGCATAAATATTAAATAATAATTAGATAAATATAAAATAAATAGAACAAAAATTATTATATTATATAAATAAAGTTACGAAAGTAATGAGTAAACAAGAATTAATGCAAGTTGTTTGGATTAACTAACATTAAATATTTCTTACTGTTTTAAAATGATAAGAGGTACAAAGATAAAGATGAATAGGAGATAAAAGGAAATACATATACTTAACTTAAAAAATCAACTATTATTCATAATTATACATCAAAAAAATTATAAATACTAAGATGAATTCAAAAAATATTTGCAAGAATAAATTCACCTATTGAAAAAAAAATCGAGAATATTTTTATTTTAACAAGTATAAAATTAGATTAAGAGAAAATCCTTTTCTTTCCAAAACTCAAATAAATATGACAATTTTCTATGATTTTAAAATTATCACTAAAATTGTTACAAAATATTAGATTTAACTGTTTTGTGTTGTCATAAATAAATGGAATGTTAAACAGTTAAAAATTGTCTTTAATTCGGAAAAAATAAATAATTGTTTCAACAACTAAGCAACTTATCATACAAATATCAAGTAAATGGTTGACAATATTTAAGCAACTCATCTTAATCCAATCAAATATGTTGGGGGTGAAACAAGACATTAGCAGGTAGCAAATATTTACATATTCAGTAGATATAAATTAAATTCAAAATAAAATTAGGCTAGCTTCTGTTAAATAGAAAACATATATATATATATATATATATATATATATATATATCGATTTTTAATTTTAATATATATTTAGCACAAATTTCTTCAAAAAAAGGTTAAGAACACATGGATAATTAACTTTAATTTAATTTGATTAAAAAGTAAATTTGACGAAATTTCCAATATAAAAATTTTATATATATTAAATTCAACCGAACTAAAAAAGGGAAGAGAAGGTGTTTGAGAAGGGGGGAACATAGCTGAAACTGCAGAAGGAAAAGCAGCGGAAAAAGATCATAAATCACAGATCCATCACCTCCGATTCCGATTCCGATTCCGGCTACGTTCTCGCATTTATTATTCGTCTGCTCCAACTGCTGCTCAGGTTTTCTTCTTTTTTCCGGTTTCTCAAAACAACTTAGGTCTTGGTTGGATAATCTTGAGTTAATTGTAAATTATCGTTTTTTCTTTTAATATTCTTTACCCAGTAAAAGTACGATTGTGATGGTACTAACAGGATCGAAGTAATCTGTTCAAGTCCATACTAATTCCGTTTTTCAACTTTCAACATCATCATTCTATTGCAATGTATGAGATTCTAGAGTGATTTTGTAAGGCCTTGGTTTCTGCAACTTTGACGACTAGTTTTTGTGGTGTGGTTCTCCTTAGGTTCTTATAAAGTTTGGTTGGCTAATGATATGTTGGAAATTTCCAATTAAATCTCATATGGGTATGTCAGTAATAGATTGTGTTGAGAGAGCTTTGGCTACTGAAGCTGTAGATAGTTCGTTCTCAAACCAAGGTAATTTAAGATTGGTTTTTGCTCTCAATAGCTATAGATAGGTCTTTACAGCGTAATACGTTGCGGAATTTTAATCTATTAATAAGAACAGGTATTAACTCTCCTTTGTATGTTTCTTTTGTAACCATTGCGGTAAGGTTTCTAGATCATATGTGATGCGATGTTTTTTTTTTCTCTTGTTTATTTATGTTCTGCCTCGATTTTTTTGATCGATTTGCGTGGTTTATTTCTAATATTTTTGTTTATGTGATTATGATATTGTTTTGCTTTTCTATGTGCTTTGTGTTTGATATTGTGCTAATGATTTTGATATTATTACAATGACTATAATGATTTTGAACGCAGACAACCTTTTCTCTGTGGGTGGTTTGAGCTCAAGCAACATAAAAAAATGGTTCTAGACAAGAATGCGATTCAGGAAACCCATTATAAGGTTCTTAATGTGAAAGAAGATGCAAATTATGAAGAAATTCGTGTCAGTTATCGCAGTGCTGTACTCAGCTTACATCCTGATAAGCTGTTGAAGTCGTCGGAGACATCCAACAGTAATGAAATAAATGGAGAGAGATTTCTGAAAGTACAGAAGGCATGGGAAATTCTGAGTGATTCAAGCTCCCGCTCTTGTTATGATAAGGAGCTGCGAAGCACAAGACAGGATTTCTTGGCTGCTGAAGTTGCAGAGGATTTAAGCTTAGAGGATATGATGGTTGAAGATGCCGGAGAAGCATTGGAACTGTTGTATCAATGCCGATGTGGTGATTACTTTTCTGTAGATTCATTGGAACTGAAGAAAATGGGTTATTCCTTATTGAGGGAGGGAAGTGGGATATCTATACTCAATGTTGATACTTTACCAGGATCAGTGATTCTTCCTTGTGGTTCTTGTTCATTGAAAGCTCGTCTGTTAATCAGTATGGATGACATTTGAAATTAAATTATTACCAATTTTTGGTATGAATACTGACTATTGAGATCATTAACTTTTTCTAGCACTTTCAGCTGCCTGTAATTGGGTAAATTTCTTAGGGATAAAATCTGAAATTTGTCGTTTTTCAATGTTTACTTGGAAATAGAACAGTGAGATTTGGAGTTCAAGTTCTCTGTTGAAACTTTGGTATTGAGTTTTTGGTACTGTCTCCTTAGTGAGTCTTTAAAATATATACACTGATGTTAGTATATTAAATATAATTTGAAGAGTCAGTAGAAGTACACATATCAAAAACTCAGCAAAGAACTTAAAAGAGAATCTAAATTTTGGTATTTGTTTCAGATACCAACTCACTTATTCAAACATGATGTTAAATTTTACCTTCTTTTTTTCTCATCAAAGAGATGTTAAATCCTGCATTTTGAACAATTTCGGATGGGACTATGGCTAAACCTATTAGAAGCTCGCTTGTTTTTTAGAGTCAATCGCTTTTTTGTCATTAGCTATATTATCTAACGTGTGCTGAAGTATTCGCATGCAAGACTGAGTAAAACAGATTTTCGAAACATACATTAGAAATGGATTGCCCATCAGAAAGAAGGATTATTCATCAATACATTATACATACAATCTATTTGCAAACTGACGATTATTGTATACATGAAAGTTATTAGTCTATGCTATAAATTTGTTTTCTTTAGTGCCAATAGTCTAGACCACCTTTTATCAACGGAAGCCTGACTTTGTCCAGTTATATCTGAAAAGAAAATAAAGATCATTACTAAGCATATCTTAGATTGTTTTTTCAAGGTTACTTTTGGTAACATTCCCTCTATTACAAAACATTAGAAGAGTAATGAAGAACAACCACCTGGATCGTCATGAAAAATTTAAATAATAAAAAAAATGCTTACACTGTATTGTACCCTCAGTTTTCTCGCATAATTCAGAGCAACAGTCCTGCAAAGTTAAAAATAATTATACAAAATTTTAAAACCCAACATGTAAAAACATGATATGCAATACTGCTAATTATACTTTTACTGCTGAGTTTAGTCGGATGGCATCTTGTACAAGAGAATCGAGATCAACTTCGTGTCCAGGTCTAACATATATCACCTGTATTGAATGAGTAGCTGTGTTAATCAGTACTGAACATGTTAAGCTTTCAAATCATCTCGTAGCTAAAAATTGTTGTAGGTATTGTCCCTCCTTAAAATAGAAAAGTAAAGAGCCATGTTCATTGAAATATTGCTTTAAGACCAGTTCTAAAATTCAATTCACGACATAGAAAATATCTGGTGTTGAGGTAACCCATTTTAACCTCAAATTTTAACATTTAGAACTAACTCATATTTCTGTTACTTGGGTAGAACTGCAATCATCTATCATCTCCGGCCTCATCTAAGTGGCCTCCCTTTTATGGCTAATAGTATGGTGGGGAATTATTTAAAGTGATAAAATGAGCATATTAACCCTTAATTTGCATCAAGGTACCTCATAGAATTAACTCACTTTACATCAAAAGTGAATATAATATATATTACCTTTTCAACTTAGAAGACCAAAATCCAATATATATTACTTGGATTGCAAAATTCTTAATAAAATAGTTGTTACAAGGTTGAATATCTAACTCTAAGATCACGAACAAAACAATCTGAAATGTAAGTTGATACAGTTTAAAAAGACTAATTATTGTGATATGTGTAAATCTCCTAAGATTAACAGTTTTCTCCAAAATTAGGTTAACTAAAAAGCATTCTCTCAAATAATGGAACATATAAAACTAAATAATGGTATAGGAAAAACCGGATAAATAAAAAGTTAAATTAACATATGTTTGGAATTAATATTAGGATACTGCTTCCTACACTCTATCAAATTTCTTCCTGTACCCTATTACTTCTAGAATTTATTTTCCGGAACACAATAAACACTTCCAGAAATTCTTTTCCGGAAAACAATCACTCCTCCCTTACGGAAAAAATTTTCTGGTAACTTTTTGATGGTGTAAGGAACAAATTTTCCGGTAACTTTTTATGTGATGAGGCAGAACTTTGATAGAGTGTACAAATCAATACCCTTAATATTAAACACATTATAGGCAACTTAAGTAGCCCACAATTTCGGGATATATGCTAGGAGTCTCTTTAAATATAACTTACAAGAGTTCTCTATTGCTTGGAAGTTTGAAAACTTCAAAATAATTGAAGAATGGGATTTCCTAGAAAAGAAAAATATGAATCAAGAAATAAAAAGTACTTCTTTTATAAATTAAAATTATTTTTTTAAAAAACATATGTAAATTTTACTTTATTTTTGTTTATATATACTTACAGAAAAACTCTTCCAAACCCAGAAATGGGAAAGAAAATGAGACACGAGCCTTTTGCCAGTGAGAATTGCATGGGTGAACTTTTTCAAATGTCGTTAATTTAGAGCAACTCCAAAAAAGATAATAGATTAATGTTGGTATTTTAAAAATCCTTTTAACGTATTTTAAATTATCAAACCCAATATCCATCGGTTTATTTTGAAGGCATAATAGAGGAATAATACAGAAAAATTTAACATAATCTAAATTCGAAAAAGAAAATATACAAAAGAATGAAAGCATTTCACTTGGGGGGTTTAAGAGCGTAGTTACATTAGGGTCATCTCCAATTTCAAGTTGTGGCTGTTTGCGGTCGTCTTTAGGTGCTATAAGAACCCATACGTTAAATTTTGCTTCAATCTGTAACCATTAGTAAAGACGGAGTCAACCATAGAACCATAAAATATGTCTAACACAATACGTCAATACATAATCAGTACTTGACAATGTAGATGATACAACTTCAAGACATCAATTGCAACAACATTATGCATGCAAATGACACATTTTCATTCCAAGAATTTCGTAGGTGCATGATGTATTTGTGCACTTAATTGTCCCCAAACTCAGACACATTGGTAAAGAAACCTGAGGCATTTTAGGTAGAAAAAAGAGGAACGAGCTTTTCATTGAATAGTTATTTTGCTATGGTCAAAATTCTCTTACACTTCAACCACTGAAATATCAACTGAATATAAGAGGAATCTAAAAAAAAACAAAAAGATGGTGGGTAAATATCAAACTCATAATGTCAGAAAGCCCACAGAGATATTACAGTCAATAAATATCAATTCATGGTATTTTAATAAAAAAAATAAAAGAACAACTGCATTTCGAAGGCATGCAACAAATCCCAAACCAAGAAATTAATTAACACATAGTGGTGGTGACGGAAAGAAATACCTGTCGGCAATAGGGAGTAGAACAGTTGCTGCACTTTCTAGTGAAGGATGTGGTGACTCTTCCATCAACGGATAAACCAAAGCTAGCATGCTGGCATTACCATGTACAAGTGTTGACAATTAAACAATCAAACGTCAAAATCTGAGACTATTGATTCTAGTCACGGATAGAGATAAAAGAAATACTATACGAGATGGTGTGATTAACAAAGAAAGGTGAAATGTATGGAAGCACCTTTTGGACGGAGAGATTGATGAAAACTTGTGCATTCTTATGTGAGTTACTATCGTCTTCAATCAAATCCTGTAAGTCTAGGTCGTGCAATGAGACTAGATAATCACTTGTCCAATCCCCGTGATATCTGCCATCACCAGGTGATATTGTGATCAAACGGCGAGCAGCCCTGTTCGTGTTCTTCCCAATCTACGTTTTGCCACATCAAGTAAATAAATACCACAAATACCTCCTTAATAAACTTCAGTTTGGAACAAATTAGAGGGCGAATATATATATCATATATAGCAAGTTACCAAAGGAGAGTTAAAGTCATCCTTTCTTTTGGAAGAAGCAGTGACAGTGACAGTGGGATTATTGTAAGAGGGAATCCGAGAGAACAACCTGAAGGTGTTGTTGAGCTTATCTATGGAGTGGGATGGATTGAATATTGGATTGAAGCTCCTTTGCGATACCAAATTTCCTGCATTTGCCATAACTCTCTGGAGTCTGGTCTAAGACATGGTGGGATATTTGACGCTTCTATAATGCTCTAACCTTATCTTGATGTGTGACTGGTATTTATGCAACGCATGCAAAATTGCAGATGTAGTTTTCTAGGGGACACAATAGACTTTTCTGATAAATCTTGCTTTTATCATTTCGTTCTTGGAAGGAATTTTCATTTTTATTTTTTCACCTTATTGCTTTATCATTTCTATATCATTGAAGAATAGAAATAAATTAATTTGATTTAGAAATTAATTTTATATTAAGAATATACTTTAATTTTATTTGGAAATCAATATCCGTGCTTAAAAACACGATTATAAATTAATTGAAAGAAAATAAGTGGTTTTTTTACTGTCTTTATTCAAAAGGGGTAAAATGGATAATCAAACTAATTTAATCTTGTACTCAAACTAAACAAAATTTAAATAGACGTTCAAATGTACCTAAATAAGAAAATAAAACAAGTCAGTTCATGTTCTGTAATAATCCAGAAAAATGTCATAAGTGAAATATAGAGTTTGGTTTTCTGACAGAAAAAACACGATCAACATATAGTTCTCCTATTGGTCATGTATACTCACCAAATATGCACCTTTTTCATTTTATAGCCTTTAATATATAAACTTTAAGCCGAACCGTGCAGTAGAGAGCTGGATTTAATTAACGCTGATTTCGTTCCAAAATCAAACCTGTGACGGAATTCCATTTACGATAAATCAGGTCTAACTAATTTCCAATGTTATTCTTCACATGCAGGCAGGGACTTGTTTGAACTGATTTTCTTTCTGCATGCAGACTTTTTTAAGTTAATTGATATGTCAACGAATCTCTGTTTCTTAAAATGCAACCAAACGCGCCATATGTGCTTCAAGTACCCATTTCTAAACAAAATTTTGGATGACTTACCCAAGCACATATTTTCCTATTTTCTGGGATCCCAAAAGACTACATCTAATGAACCACGAATGTGGCTGTTATTTTCTACCGTACATGCACAGTGAATTAATTATATAATTAACAAGGCCAAAAGAAATGTTATTGATACAGTAAGGATGGTCAATAAATGGCAATCACGGCCAATTTAAGTGTCTTGTTGCATCTTCACTCAAGTTCCAAGCTCCTTCTGCCATCTCATCATATAACTGTTTCCATCCCCAACTTGAATATCCCAAGAAAAACCAGTAATCCCCAACTGGTTCATTTGTCGACTTCAGCTCCTCAATTTTACGAATTGTCGTTACTTGATCAAGTAAGTATATTCCAGGAAGGATTTCAGGTAAATGATTTCCGAAAAGTGTTCTAGTTAAGGATAAAAGAGGCATTCCAGTTTCCATTACTGGACCTCCCAGGGAGAGAGGAGCCTCTTTCAATTTTTCCAATTCTTCTTCCAATTTAGGCAGAAGACTCCATTGTATATGTTTGTTGAGGATAAGACCTTGAAATCCAGTTACTTCATTGGCTGCAACAATGAGAATCTTTGATCCATCAAACGGATGAACGCCCAAAAGCTTTTCTGTGGAAATTAGAACTGAACCAATCACCACGTGAGGCAATGCTTCATGCAGTCCATTTGTTACGGGTGAACTCACTGGGCTAGGTCTAACCACCTGGTCTAACAAGTCATGACCTTGGGCTCCATGATATTTGCTGTGTGATTGAAGTGGTTCTGGGTTGAAATCAGTTAGCAAAGCATCATATAAGTTTTTATTTTTGCCTTCTCTTTCAGATAGCCACAGAACTGCCACTCGAACCATGAAACAAAGTCAAGAATAAATTTAGACTACCATAGTAAATGTTAAAGTTAGAAGAAATAGAAAACAGGGAACTTTTAGAAACAGAAGTTAAAAGGAGATACACTAGCTACAAGTCTACCACTCCACTGTCAAGTTCATCTAAATCTAGGAACCAGATGGATAGGAAATGAGGATGCCGTGATGAATCAATGATCATCAGTATATGATCAAAGTTTAAGGCCAAAAGTAACATGCTATTTCATAAATTATATATACAAAAATAGCATATAACAAATGAATGTTTACCTTTTTCTCTGATAAGATTATGAAAGTTACTTCCGTGTTCTGCCACAAATTTCATAACCTCAATTACAGAGATATCGCCTTCATAAAGAAGAGGTTTCTTCTTTTCTGCTGGAAATAAAATTAGAGCAGGATAAACTTCCCTCTGCATATTAAAAGTACGCCAGACAACATTAAGTCCAGTATAATAGAGGGGATAAATTATGTGTTTAACCTAATCATAAAAACAAGACAAGGACCAAAAATATAGCTTCACGAGTACCTGGTCTAATGACTTCAGTATCAAATCACAATCATTCAAAGTACAATCCAATAAGTAGATCACCGGAAGCTTCATCGTGACATGATCCAAATTTTCTGCCATGTAACATCAATTGTCACTGTTAGCAATTATGTCTACAACTTGGTCGGTAAATTCTCCCACAAACCAATTTAAAAAGCATCATACACCTCAATCAAGTGCACAAAATAAAACAGGATAGGAACCATTGGGATTCATGCTAAGATCAGAGGTGCAGAGTCAAAAACGGTTACAAATTCAAAGTGAAAAGTTAAAATTCTGTTTGATGAACAAACAAGTCAATACTGTCAAGCAGTTGGTGGCATGAACGTGCACAACAGATACAAGACCAGCTAATTGCTAACATAAAAGCTGCTGACCATTTTATTATAAGCAAAACAACAAGCTTCTCACAACAAAACGTGCTGAAAACAAATACCCTAAGCAACCATCTTTATCTGAAAAAAAATGAGGTGGTAGAGTGCAGAGACAAACAGAAACACGGAGTCTTACCATGATCAGATATACCTTCAACGTTCTGAGATCCACTGTTTAACATATTCACATAGCCCTTGATGGCCCGATATACTTCCCGAACAACCATTTCCATTCTCTGGCAGAAAGAACACCAGTTATTGCTGAACAAGATCAAGACATCTTTATTCCATGCATTGGAAGTATCTTCTTTGTTAGAAAGATTAAAACCAATAGCAAGTTCAGAGAAACTATGAGCAGTGATTTGAGGTATAGAATCTATCTCATGAAAATCCAAATTAACAAATGGAGGATGGATGGGCCCCTTTTGACCTTGAAGTACATGTTCTGACCGCTGATATGGATGTAGGGTTCTATTAAGAAACTCAGAAAGAAAATCATATAGTGAAGAAAAGTTGAAACTTTTCTCACCAGGATAAACATAATGTTGCTGCTGAATGGGATCAACAATAACCAAAGATGGAACTCCAAAACCACCCGTGAGTCTTTCAAGTAATTGATAATTACCATCAGAATAGAAAAATGAACCATTAAAACCAAGAAAATGAGTCAGTTCTTCCTCATACTTGTTCCCACCTGAAGAATCATCTGTTTCTGATCTTACAAATTCGGTAGTAGAAAGTTCATTATCTGCAACAGATTCCCCAGGCTGCACAGACTTTATCTCCTCATGTGTAATGATAGAAGGTCTATTCACTTCATCATCCCGAGAAGATAGCTCAGTCAATTTGGGATTTTCCTCAACCTCTGCAGCAGATCTATATGAATCCCCATCTAGCACCAAAGTATCCGCAAGGCCCTGTTCAGAGGTTTCTGTTGGAATTTGATTTGACTGAACTTCTGAATATGGTTGTTGTGTACTAGCTAACCCAATATCCATATCGTCAGATAAAAGTTGGAAGCCTAGATCCTTTGCTAGGGAGCTTAGTTTTCTATCATTCTTTCGCTGGAGGAGATAGGCCAATATTTCATTCAAAGAACTCCCTTGAAGATCAGATGGTACATTGTCTAAACTAACTTGCTTACCCTCATTTATAATCATGACTGTAGAAATTTTCTCTTTTAGTTTAATCTTCTGAGCTGGCATAGATAACTTTAACCTAGGATGTTCAGATGTACTCTTCAAACCATGATAATGTTTATCAAGACTGTCATTTTTCTTCTTACCTGCTTGATTCACACTATGATAATGTTGTGCCAATTCTCTAAAAGCTTCAAGAGCTTCCTTACTTTTTCCCCTAGTTTCTGAGGATTCGGATGATCTATCAACAAATAGAAGTACAGATGGCTTATTTGCTGGTAGAATGGGCTCTTGATCATTACCTTCCAGCTAAATACAAATAAAACAAGGTAAGTTCCAAAAATGATTGAAAGAAGGATGGATGCTTGGTAGTGGTACTAGTTAAATAAACTAGTCCACTACAATAATTAGACATATGATACAGGAACGATTGAATTAAATTATGGCATATACTTCATAGTATGGAACAAAAGAAAGAAAGGTTTTATTCACCTCTTTAACATAATAATTATTCATCTGCAAAACATAGTTTAAGTCATCCTCTTCTTTAAGAATATTTGAACAACTTGAACATCCAGCCTGGTACTGAACCGCAAACCATGGGCCATAATCACCAACACCTAGGGATGAAAGCATTGACCTATTTGAAACCAGGCCAAATCTGTTTCGCTCCGGAGGCAAAAAGAATTCTCTCACAACAGTCATGAATTTCAAGTAAAAAGATTGAAACCGCTCAAATTCTTCAGATGATGAACAATAATGTACAACATCATGATTCCTATCCTTGGAGCCCTCCAAAAGACCATAATTTAACAAGGTAAACTCCCCCAGCCAAGGAGCTTTACAAAACCCTTTATCAACACTAAGTTCAGCCTTGCACGTGTCCTCATCTGATGATTTGGAAAAAGGAAAAAAAAAAGACACAAAATAATGAAATGAAGAATTTACTTGTTAACCTCGAGGTTTTTCATTGACAAGCACTTAAATAATACCAGCCACCTTCTTGTTAGTCTTCCCCCTTGACACATGCATTCTACTATTCCCTCTGCTAAGATCCATTCCATGGTGATTCCCTGCAAGGAAAACGCCACCACAGACAGTGAGTCACCTTCTGCTGAGTGCCCAACCATCAAGAAATTCCAAGTAACACAAATACACTTATTAAAAGTGAATACTATATAATTATACAGATCCATATTTCCTGAAGTCGAGGAATAATCAGGGAATCCATACATTCAAACAATAAGAACCGTTGGATAAGCATCATACAACTCATAAAATATAGATAAAATATAACCATGTGATTTAAGTATTTTTTACTTGAAATACGCATCTAAAAACATATATCATTCAATCTTCATCTAACGGTGCTAGTTGACAAATGTGCAAATGCAACAAAGGAGAACATATTGTTCCGCTCTCCAATTAGAATTTCATCCTAGTAATCTTCATCATTTCTTTAATGCGGACCTTTTACCAAGTGAAACTCAAATTCTGATAGAATAACCATTCAAAAAACACTAATTGAACTGTTAACAACCTTTGTCCTACTTATTGAACTGTTAACAACCTTTGTCCTACCTACCTTCAATTATCAATGTCACGGACATTACTTCTGGAAAAGGCAAATGCTAAGTTAGGTACGGATTCGTGACATCAAATTCGTTAAAACTCACCAAGCACAGTGAAACTATTTTGCGTTCCGTTATCTTTGGTACTTTTGGCGAGTAATTTGGGCGTCCAACCACAAAAATCAACTAGAACAATAGCTTTGTCAGTGGAATCAATGAATGATCTTAAATCCAGAGGAGAATTGAGAGCCGCGAGAGGAACCTCCTCAGGCGCAAGGGATATATAAGGATACAACGAGAACAGAATATTCTGAGCTCTGAATCTTCCACGGTACTTATAAGACACAGAATAATGGAAATAAACGAGTGTTATTTCATCGGTAGCACCTATAGAATCCGCTAGAACCTTCTCGGTGTTTCTATGCATGCGCATGAGTTTGAGAGAGGCGAACTCTATAGGCTTAGCGGAAACTGCAAGCGAAACGTCGTTCATGAGAGATCGAGCCTCGCCGGACCCTGCGGTTCAAAATCGAAATCAATTCATCAAACACGTTAGGAGCAGAAGAGCGCAACGCAACACGTAATGGTGTTGGTCGAAAGAAGAGTTTGATTAGTGGAGTGAAGTACAGGGAAGCGCCACGAGGAGGAGGAGGTGATTGTGGAGACGGATCTGTGAAGAGAAATTCTGCTTGGTGAGGATCTGCCATTGGAATTGAGATTGAGAAGATGATGAGCATCGATACACTGGAATAATGGATAACGATGCTATTGTTATAACAAACACGGTCAATAAGGATAACTTCATTGTTAACTTTCTTTCTCTCGTTTGAAGCTGCTGTGCTATGACACGGTTCAGTGGACTGAATACCAGTGCAGTCACCGCCACCAGTGTCTCGCTCGCACTTCACACACACCGGTGATATTCTTGGTAGACCGGGTCGGGCTAACTCGGATCGGAATAAATTCTAATATATTTTGTTTACTTTGGGAGGATGATAATTTTATTTTTTATTTTTTGATCCTTAATGATAATAGTAAGCACTAATTTTGCAATATTGCAAAGATCAAATTGCGAGGTAAATGTATAAATAAAATAATATTATCTTTGACCACGGGTTTAAGGGACGAAGAAAAGGAATGTTATGATTATTTATTTTTTAATTATGGTTGTATTTATAATTTTAACCCTTTCTTATATGAACTAATTATATAATTTTATAGTACAAAATTATGATATAAATTGACTGTTATGTTTTTATTAGTATAAATATATCATAAGTGGAGTACACTTATGTAGTAAAATAATGTTGAAAAGGCATATTTTTATTTAATAATTAATTTTAAATATATAATAACTAAATATGTAAAGTGAAAAATGTTTATCTTATGTTTAAAAATGTATTTTCAACATATAAAAACATATTATAAAGAAGACTTTAAATTCAACTCAATTTTTGGTTAGGGTAAATTCAATTTTAGGTAGGGGTAAGTTATTTATCATATTAATAAAATCATTCATAAATTTTATATTTATATTTTTATTAATAGTGTTCTTTTTCAAAATTCAAAACAAACACATTTTTTATTTGTCAACTTACAAAAGAATTAATAATTATACTTTTATCTTGAACCTGTTTTAGAGAAAGGTATAAATCCAAGTCTCGAATTTCTTTTTTATGTGTGGCGAGTTCCGCATTATTCGTCGTCAACCCTTTTGTTAAGTTGAAACGATTTTCTCACTACTAAAAAAATGTTAAAGAAGGTCGAAATTAATTTAAAATAGTTATTAATTCAATAGTCCTTAAAAATCAAACAATGCAACAGTATTACAAGTACTTTCATTTTTGTTGACATATAATGATGATTTCAATAAGAACACTTTACAGTTTTGTTAAGATAACAAAAACAATTATAACGACAACGTTGTCCGCATAATTCTTGTTCTTATTTGCATCCAAATATAGATAAAAATATGTGTATTAGTTTTTGGGAAAAAAGAAATAGCGAGGAATAATATCAAATAGTAATAAAAAAAAATCTGTTATCAAAATACCAGTGTTCTAACATAATAAATAAAATTTTAAGTTATGTATGTAAACACAAAAAAGAAAAAAAAAATCAACACGGAGATGTAAATATTCATGAGTGAGCTATTTTTTTTATCGCATGCTTCCATACAATTTATCTGAATTAATAATTCATTTTGGTGCTTTAGATCTATATGCTTCGATTTTGGCATTCTATACTTGTGACAAAAGTCACAATCTTGCAGGCAATACCTTTGATAATCTACAATTAGCAGCTCTATTTAACTTTTAAAGCATATTAAGCTTTACCTAAAACTACCTGAAATTTCAAAATAAATTATAATAAAATGAATGAATTCAAATTCACATTCCTTTTAACATTTATTACTTTGGATTAATTATTAAAAAAAAAGGAAAACATATATAAACAAAAAGCAGAACTCGAAGATTTATTACTTGAACAGTAAGCATGCATAATTTTGCAGTATCGTTCTCGAATGAACGCTCGCAAAGTTTCATACTGGTCCGGCAATTCAGTAACAATGAGTCAAAGTACGCAAAGAAAAAGAAAAAAGAAGTCTAGTTACTACCTCCATGATCGACTTCAAGAGTCAATCAAATTCACTTACAACGAGTCAAAAGGAAAAAGAAAAACCAGAAAAAGCAAGAACTAGTTACAAAGTTTCATACTGGTCCGGCAAAAATCTTGCAAGAGGGCGTCAACATGTTCTCGTCAAAAAAGATATCGTTCGAACTTCTTGGCTTTTCGGTCACGACGTTCTTGTTCTTCTCGGTCACGACGACGTTCTTCTTCTTCGTGTTCTTTTTGTTCTTCTCGATCCAACTCATTCCTGTTGGAATATAAATTGATTTTGTATGTTGGGCCTAAAAGATAAAAGCCCAATATTAGCAAAGGCCCAAATAGCATTAAATGAAAGATGCGCACTTGGCTGTATTCATCTTATCTGAAAATATGAGTTATTGGGGAAGGGAACTCGGAAAAGGAACACGCCATGGGAGGTTGGAGTGGAGTATGGAATCTGCCGGAATTGTTGAGGAAAAAAACTTTAAAGGCTAGAAGGAAGTGTTTTAAGAATTGGGAGAGGTTGGAAGATTTTGAGAGAAGAGGAAAGGATTGTATGAGTGCGTTCTAGACTTTTTTTTTGGCTTATTCTCAAATGATACAATCCATTCACCTATTGATACTAAGGCACCTCCTTAACCAATGGTAGGATTTGCCACCACAACATTCATCTAAGGGTTATAATTATTCTCTAGAACTTTCTAAAACATTCCTATAATTCTAAACTTATCTAAAGATATCTTATGGAATCATCTCTAGATATTTTTGTGTGAACATTCTAGAATCCTTCTAGATAGATTTTCTAGATGCTATTTGGGCCTTGCTAATATTGGGCTTTATCTTTAGGCCCAACTTACAAAATCAATTTATATTCCAACACCCCCTCTTAAACTTGATTTTGTACTCCAGCAAACTTCTCAACATTCATAAAGACTTCTTCTTTAGCGGTTGGTGAAGATATCTGTACCTGATATGTGTCTTCACAGATTCCATTTGCACATCCTTGTTGCTGATGCATTCTCTAATGTAATGGTTTAACGGGTGTGGATGTGCTACTTCTATCATGGAAGACTGGGTTCTGTGCTAATGCTATTCGGACTTGTTGTTTACGAAATCTTTGTCGGCTCCACTTGTTGCAAGCTTAACTCCTTCAATAGGTTTCGTAACCAAACAACATGGGAAACACATGAAGTTTGCAGCTAACCATGACTTGACTTCACATGTAGACAAAGTGACAATAGCTGCTTCTTGGACATCCAAGTTAAAGGCTTGTGTATCCCATGTAGACCACAAATCCACTTGTGCTTTTCGGTTCATCCATATCTCCACTCCAATCGCTCATCACTATATCCAACAAGCTTGTAATCGTTAGGAAAGGAGTATATAGGCCATAGCTTGTCGTACCTTGGATATATCGAAGATCCTCTTCGCAGACTTGAAGTGAGTAGTTGTTGGAGAGCTTCCAGTGACCGACTCACGACTCCAAACGGCATAGAGAATGTCTGGTCTTGTACAAGGTAAAGAGCGCAAAAACTTCCAAAAGACTTTTATAGAGGTTGGATCTTTACCTTTCTCCCTCTTCATCCTACTCAACTTGATGCCGCATTCCATAGGAGTACCAACGGATTAGCATCATCCATCTTGACCTTTGAGGAGGTCTTTGGCATAACTTTCTTGAGTAATAAAAATTCCTTCATTTCCTTGCTTTACTTCAATTCCGAATAATATGCCATAAGCCTCATGTCGGTCATTTCAAATTCCTTGGTCATATCCTTCTTGAATTCCTTAAACATGCTTGGATTGTTCCCTGTAAAAATTAAGTCATCGACATACAAGCATACAATCAAAATATCTTTACCTTGAGCTTTGATATAGAGTGCATGCTCATATGGGCACTTGATGAAATTCGCTTCTTTGAAGTACTTGTCAATTCGAACATTCCAAGCTCTAGGGGCTTGTTTCAACCCATAAAGAGCCTTTTTTAATTTCAAGACTTTATCTTCTTCACCTTTGACTTCATATCCTGTGGCTGATCAATGTATAGACTTCTGCTTCAAGAACTCCATTTAAGAGGCCGATTTGACATCCATTTGATGTAATCTTCCAAATTATTTGGAGCTGCTATGATATAATAAGTTACAGTTTCTAGTCGAGCAACTGGACGGCAAATACCTCGTCATAGTCGATGCCAGCCCTTTGACTGTTGCCTTTTGCCACCAATCTTGCTTTGTATCTCTAAACTTCTCCTTTGGAGTCCTTCTTTGCTTTGTAGATCCACTTGACACCAATTGCTTTGGCCCTTTTGGAAGCGAGGCTAGCTCCAAGTATCATTCTTATTATTGCCTCGATCTCTTCATCCATGGCATTTCTCCAACTCTTCTTTTTGTTAAATTGTTCTTCTGGGGAAGTTCATGGGGCACAATCTGCAAATATACAGAATAGGTAACATTGTCTTATTTCAGTTACCTCATAAATTTCTTGGAGACTTCGGAACGTGGAATTCTTTCATTGAGCTTTAATCATCTTGAATGATTGATTTGGTTGAAGTAGGTGGAGTACAGGTGCTCTTGCAGTTGTTTGTTGTTGTTCCCATCCTCTTCATTCAAATGCACGGAAAGGAAAGAAGTATGATCTTCACAGTTTGTCGGACCAATCCCATTTCCTTCTTCGTCAAACAATACATTCCGGGCTTGCTGATGATTGTTTTCCTTGAATCAGGATTGTAGAGTTTGTACCCTTGGAGTTGGCGTCATAACCAATATGAAGATGTTTGTATTTTCACTTTTGTCATCAGCTTACTTCGTTTCTCATCTGGCACATGCACATGAGCTAAGCTTCCCAAAGGGACTCTTAAGATGAGAAATACCTGGCTTTCTTCCGCCACCATGTTTTGTGGTGTTTTTCCACTAATGCTCTTGTTGTGAGAGAGGTTGGTCAATAGAATGCAACATGCAACAGCTTAGCCCACAATCCTTTGGAAGGTTCTTGCTTTTTAAGCAGGCTCCTTGCCATCTCCAGGATAGTTCTATCTTCCTTTCAGACACTCCATGTTGTTGAGGGGATCTTGGCACTGTCAATTCGTCTGATTCCATTGTCCTTCCCCCCCAACAAAGACTTTGAAAACTCTTGATGTAAACTCTCCTCCACGATCGGATCTCAAAGCTTTGATCAGAGGGCCCACTTTCTTTCAACATGGGCTTTTAACTTCTGAGTTCTCAAAACACTTCTGATTTTTCTTTAAGAAATATACCCATGTTGTTTCTGAAAAATCATCAATGAAGAAAGAAGGAAATAATTTACTCTTACGAGTGATCTGCTGATTGGTCCGCACACATCTGTGTGTAGAGTTCTAATGGCTTTTGAGCTCTTGAGTC